GCAGGAGCGCCTCCACGCTTCCCAAGCGGCGCACTAGCGCAGTGCGCCACCGGGCCGGCCCCTTTGGTTTTGTTTTTTATCATGAGCATTTTTTATTCAAAAGGATTTTCTCTATTCATACATGCGCAGTTCAGTCATGAATATATATGCTGTATAAATAGCCTCTGAAAAATAACAAGAAGTCATTTTCTAGAACTAATCCTTAATTCTTGTTGGATTTTTTTTCTGTCTAAAGGGATGATTCAGACAAACATAATTTCCAAGACTCAGAAGGATGTCGTCAGAAGGCCAGCGTTTGTGTCTTTGCAAGACGTGGAGAAGATAAAAAGAGGGCCAGAGTAAGTGTTCTGAAGCGTGGATTGGTGGCAGATGTTTGAGATGTTCATGTCTGATCTCATCAAATCACTCATCAATCTGGACCCTGTTTTCTTGAAAAGTTGCTGCTTGCGTTACACTGCAATTTCCTGTTGCACTACCTATGGGTAAGGTGCTTGTTAAGCACTGAAAGAATACTAGAGCAGGAAGCCAGTTTCCCCATCTAACTCAAAGAAGACTTTGGGCAAGTCTTTTAACTACTCAGGGCCTTATCTTCTCCAGCTGTGAATGGCTGGATGAATGGGGTGTGCCTAAGAAATAATCAAATGCACTGGGTTTTTGTTTTGCTGTGGATTCTTCTGTGTGTCTTTGGTTGTAACTGCATGATTTTAAAGGATGAAGGCTGAGAAAGAAATGGAGAGAAGAAAGGGATGAGGTACCTGGCTGAGAAGGGCTTTGGAGAAAGAGAAGAGAATTTTGATTAAAAGGGATCTTAAAAGGAAACTGCTGTGGGGGATTCATTGTAACTCTCTTGAAACTTTCAGTAAAATCTACATTGTTCATGCACATTTTTTGGAGTTGGATTTTTTTCTGGGTGATATGTGATTATGCAACAGGCTTCAAGGCAGGTGTAAAATCAAGATGTTCTAATTAGGTTATCTGGTTACAAGAATTCAAGGTATTTCATGAAGAAGGTAAGTTACTAAAAGGATAAACATGAGGTAATACAGGAAACAACATTTCACAAGAATTCAAGAATGGGAACTGAACTGTATCAGGGCCTCAGGAATGGGATTTGGCTCCAATTCTGCTTTAGAACTGATACAGCCTGTGACCTGGAGATCCTTGCCTATGACCATGTTAACAGCCCAGACTCTGGATCTTGGTTGCCTAAGTTCATATTCCACCCTGCTACTCATTAGTTGTGTGAGTTTGGACAAATTAATCACTCTGTACCTCTTCATCAATAGCACAGGTGTAATAATAGTACCTTCCTCAAGAGCAGTGAAGGGCACATTATCATTTCCCTGCTTGGTTACTACGTTCCAGGCACTCAAAACAGTGACCGATACATCAGAGAGTGCAGTAAATGTTAACTGCCCTTGTTATTATTTTTATTCCTCTACTGTTAACAGACTTATGTGGATGTGTGTGCATATGTGCACGTATACAAAGGTACTTCAAAAAGTTCATGGAAAGATTCATATTATCTTTTATACAATTATTTTTTAGCTTAAAAATATTGTGAAAGATAAATTATATTATGTTTTAATTCTATTTTTCCATTAACTTTTTGAAGTACCCTTGTGTGTATATATATGTATATACATAAAATTATATATATACTTATACACATACACCCAAAAATATAAATAAGTTCTTTTTAACCTCAGAATTCCAATCTGCATATCCCTTTAGCCCTACCTGCTAACTGCCTGATTTTCTCTGAGTTTTTAAATTTAATTTCCCAAGAATTAGAATCTGATTGGTCTAGCTATGTAAGCTCCCTGCCAGTACTTTTAATATTCAAATTAATAAAGTAAAAAATATTGCAGGGTTGGGGGGCGGGAGGAATGAAGTTCTTGCCCTCATGGAGCTTAACTCCTGGTGGATGAGATAATATATAAGTAACTATTTCTGGTCCTGACAAGTGTCAGGTGGGGAAAAGGCAGAGTAAGAGGTTGGGAGGTGATATTCCCATTCAGGCAACCAATTATCTCAGCGTAGCTACTTCCTAGTTATTAAAGCGGGTCTGGCAGGATGTCTTGAGGTCACCTCTCACAGAGTGACAGAGATGCAAAGGGTTACTCAAAGCTCATGTATCTGGAGCAATGAGGGGCCCAAAGTGACTGCAGCCAGGGAAAACTCCTTCAAGAGAGGAGAGCCCCAGGCACATGGCACTGAGTCAGGCTTTTTCTCAGCTTTTATTGAACAGGCAAGAAAGTTACAGAAAAAACACAAGTGGTTAATCAGTCGGAGTGAAAACATAAACAAACTGGCTACATGATAATTTTCATTAAAGCAGGTGTAACTTAAAATAATTCAAGCAATTTACCCTCAAAGGAGTCATAAAACTAAGCTATGTGACATAAAAAGAAACAATGAGATAATCACCGTAGCAGCACTCAGCTCCCTTAGAAACTTAAAGAAACAGCAGAAGGGAAGATGTGGAATATCCCCCAACCACTAACTAGCAGAATAGCCTTGAAGATTTTAGCTCACATACTTTCCCATCATTTAGGTTTAGCTGCACCAAGGGCGACTGCCCCCCAGAGCAATCGCTTTTTCTGTGTTTCAGTTCTCTTGTCTACCTCAAAGACTTTAGTCCTGTGAAAGTTTTCTAGTTTTTCCCAATCTTAGCATTTCTATATGTATTTCCAAAGAGTTGGGCTATGGCTTAAACTACAGGAGTTTGGTCCTGCTAAACTAGGGACTTTGGTCCTACTACACTATAGGCTATGGCCCGTGAAATACATGTGTTTTATTAATGTTAATATCCTCCACATCTTTTTTTTTTTTTTGTCTTTTGTCTTTTTCCGTGTCCGGCAACGGATCGCAACCCTCAGTGTTGCCCCCGTACCGGACCGGGGACCGGCAACGGGATCGCAACCCTTGGTGCTGCTCCCGCGCCTCGCTCAGCCAGTGAGCGGGAACCGGTCTGTATGTGGGATCCGAACCCTCGGGCGGGAGCGCTGCCGCGCTTCCCAAGCGGCGCACTATCGAGTGCGCCACCGGGCCGGCCCTCCTCCACATCTTGATAATGGTTTATTTGAACAGTATTTCCTTAAAGCCAGGAAACTACGTTTAAAAAAAAAAAAAAGGTAATTTTGACTTTTTAACAATTCAGATATTCCCATTTGGTCTCAGCTAGTGAGGCCATATGTTACTGCCTTTCTAGACAGCACAAACTGTTAAAAGGGTAGTAGAACTTCTTGATGCCAAGCTGGATGGTTCTTTCTGTGCAAACCTATTTCCAAGGGAAGAAATTAGTTCATGGCATTTCCAGATATCTCCTGGAGTCAATCCATTGTCTATCTCAGTGATTTGCATATGTTACAGTTGCCTCATGCAGTACCATGTGCTCTTTCTGGGAACATTCTTCCCATATGAACTTTACTTGTGACTCTCCTCCAGTCTCCTTTGTCCTCCAGTAACACCTGTAATTCCCTTACAGTACCCACCCCATACTGCCTTGTAATATAGTTATTTGTGTAAATGTCATCCCTAGAAAGCCTCCCCTCTTCCCACCCCCAATTATCAGCTCCTCAAAGCTCTTGAAATATTTTGTATAACGCACAGCACATCGTGATACTAAATAGGCAGCTAAATGAGCAAATGAATAAAATTAATTGAGAAAAACGTGTTAGTGTGGGGTCATGCAGAGAACCAGCTATAATCCTGCTCTCACTAGCCCAGAGGAGACACACTTGCTGTAGCATAGAATAAGGGCTGTCACTACTATCCTGAGCAGTCTGAGGAAAAATGAACTACAGCACACTTCACTATTCATGAGCACGGTAAAACATGTTCATTCAATCTGCCCCACAGAATGGAAATCTGAAGTTAAAATACAGGTAAATTGGGGCCAATCTTTCTCATTCCAAAAGAGTCTTTATTTTAGACAGGGGATTCTTTAAGGAGTTTTCTTAAAGTATTTAATTTTTAAATTTAATTGTTTTGATCATGGAAAATTTCAAAAAGTATAGATAATTGTACGGTAAACCCTATGTACCCATCACTCAACTCCAATGAATGTCAGTATTACACCATCTTGTTTTATCTATCCACATGATCATCTCTCTTTTTTTTCTTTCACTTGAATAATTTAATGTAAATTCCACACATTATCATTTCCCTGTAAATATTTCAGATGTGTCTCTAACCGATAAAGTTTTAAAAAATGTTCTACAATACCATTAACCCATCCAACAAAATTAACAATAATTCCTTAATATCAAGTACCCAGTTCATGTTCTATTTTCTCAAAAATGACTTTTTATACTTGATTTATTCCAATCAGTACTTAAACAGGGTCTGTACATTACATTTGGTCAATTTGTTAAGCCTCTTTTAATCAATTACACTTTCCTTTCCACCACTTTTTTCATGCTATTTATTTATTTATTAATTAAGATACTAGGCGATTTGACCTGTAGAATTTCCCAAATTCAAGATATATACCCTCATGGATGTGTAATTTCTATGAATTGATCATTAGATTTAGAGGATTAATTAGATTCAGGTTCAGTTTTTGGATAAGAATACCACACAAGTGTTGCTTAGTGCTTCCTGTCACATCTTTTTTAAGAGATGTATAACATCTAATTGTCCTGTTTTTAGTGATGAAAATCAAAGGGTGAGTTCAGGTCACTCAAGTCTAATCCTTCCATTATAGTATTTCTCAGATGATCTTTCACTTAATGGTTTTAGCAGCTACTGATGCATTATGTCATTAGGTGTTGCAAAATGGTAGTTTTCTAATTCTGTCCATTCTTTTGCAATTACTAGCTGTGATTCAACTATAAAAAAGAATTTTTCTTCTTGTATGGTTACCTGAAATACAGTTCAGAGAGAAAAGGCAGAATTCTTTCCCCTGAATCCCTAATATGCTTAAATGTTTACCATTTGACAAGGAAGCTATAAGACACCCTTGCTTAACGCTAACACATTAGGACTTTTGTCCTTTTTTTTTTTTTTTTGAGACTGGCCGCACCGTGCTCAGCCAGTGAGCGCCGGCCATCCCTATATAGGATCTGAACCCGTGGCGGGAGCGCTGCTGCGCTCCCAGCACCGCACTCTCTGGAGTGCGCCACGGGCTTGGCCCCACATTAGGACTTTTGAAGGCTGAGCAGGAATATTAAAAAGAATCTAAGCTTTTATATTTTAAATCAATGGGAAAATAGTACTTAATTTACCAAATTATGAATAGTTACTGTATTTTTTCAAAAGCATGATTACTGGTACTTCCATACCAGGAATATGCAAGGATATAATCCAAAGAAAAATACAGAAATAAACACTGTATACTTCTTTAGGAAATGTTGGCTTCATAGCTGAAAGTTAAGGATAGAAAAATCACTTGGCTATAAGGAACAGGGAGCCAAGCAAATTCTTAACTCTCTTTATTTGTAGCCATCAGCCGGCAAAGACCCTGTCAGAGCGTTTAACTTCGAGGTGTCTTCCTAAGCAGGATCTTAACTTCCTACCATCAAATGGATATAAGGTACTTGGTTTTTACTTGTTTGGTGGGTGAATCATTTGAAGATGGGAAAAAGCACTTTGCTACAAATGTGTGTTTGTTTGAATGAATGAATTGCTTCTGCAAAACTCTTGGATCAAGATTCAAAGGCAGACAGATATCTAAACGGTAGAATATACCAAAATCACTTTCTCAAGAACAACTAACCTCTACAGGGCAATTCATTGTTTCCAGAGTTCAGCCACCCACCGTCTCACTTGGGCAGATCCTCACGACAACCCTGTGAGATAGATTTTAGCATTTGTTTTATGGAGGAGAAAACTGGAACTCAGAAAGTAAAAGTGACTTATCTGTTAGTTGTAATTAAAAAGTTTCTGTGAGAGTCAAACAAGCTGTGCCTGCCTTTGTCATGTAGCCTGGTTGGGGCAAGACTGTTCCTAGATTATTGAGCCTCCATGTCATGCCCCAGCTTTCATGAAGACCGCTCTGCTTGGACTGTCCAATTCCTCTGCCCCTGCACTTGTTTTGGATCATTTGGCAAGGAACTTGCCAAGTCACTGGGCTAAATCAGATACCACAAGGGACCTCACTTTGCCCTTAGGCATAATGCTTTGTTAGCCTTAAGTCGGCCTGAACAGACCAGCCCACTGCCTGATTCATTACTGGAGTGAACTGCAAGATGTGGAAACCCTAAGCCAGTTCATCCCACCCACAGCCAGAATGCTGGCAGTGCTACCCTAATGCATAGGAGGCCACACATATGGACATATCACGCTTTAAATGTTTCCTGTTTTGCATTTATATATTTTTAACATTTTTTAGTTGTTGGAAATCCATAACCAGTTTCCGGAATATATCAAAATAAGTGAGCATTTTAAAGCTTCCATGAGAAATTTCAAGATTGAAAAGATAAAGAAGATCCAGAGCACAGAACTCTTGAATGCTTTTGAAAGGTTGGTGGTCACCTTATCAGATTTCCTTACATAAAATTTGAAAAGATTAGTTAAGATCTGTCCTTTAAGGTTCATAATCACTGGTTAATTTCGTAGTCCACAGTTTCTTCAGTCTCTAGTTGTTTTTTCATTGTATGTACTTGAGCTGTCTTGTTCAGCTTTACATTTTACAATTCAATGATTTCATGTGTTCATCATATCAAAGTTTTCATAAATGTATTATTTTGCAGCTTCTGCCTTATAGTTAGTAGCTCCATTCTGAAGTTGATGGAATAAATGTGTAAAATAATTAGACTTCCGTTGGGATTGATGTTATTAAGTGAAATGGGAGAGGGATTTTCTTGGTATTAAGTCTCACATTTCCTCCATTAGGAGAAAGCTAAAGATGAAGAGAAAGGATGAAACACTCCTATTTTATGCAACAGGCCGTGCCCATGTGAAGTCTATCTGTGCCAACAGTTTTGACTGGATTTTACATGAAACTCATGAGGCCAAATATGGAAAAGGTTTGTGCTGGAAATAGAGAAGCCTAAGTCGTAGAGCCATAACTCAGGCTTTATGCCTGTTTCTATTGTAAGGTATATCTGATAATTTTATGTTAACCAGCATGTTCAGGCTTTAGTAATCACAGAGGAAATAAGCTCACAGTAATCTTAAATGCCCAAATTAGAGAGGTCCAGTTGACTTGGATCTTGCCTGCTAGACCTTAGCCTCTCCTGTCTTTTGTTTTTTTTCTGAGAGTGACCAAAGAGTCTTATAAATGCTTGCAGACTACTCCGTCTGTGGGCTACGTTGTCTACCATTACTACTCAGCACTGGCTGTGGCTCTTCCTGACCTATGTGCATGCCTGCAAAGCCATCTGAAGTAGACTTCTGTTGCCGCTGAGGGGTTCTAATTAAAGGTGAGGGAAAGAGGCCTCTCCCCATCTCAGGCCACACTGGGTCCCTGGGGTCTGAAGTATCACAGATCTGCCCCAACACGAAGTCTTTATAGCTCTTTCTTTTTGCTCCTAAACTCCTGCAGGTAATTCTTTAAAAACAAAACAAAACCACCAAACAAAAACCAATCTGCAATATTTGTGAATTTTAAAAAAAGAAAGAAGTTAGAGGAAAAAAAATTTCTTTTAAAAGGAAAGAATCGTAAAACAAAACAAAACAAAAAAAGACCCCCATAACTGATGCTTTAAGAATCAGTTATTTAGGGTAATGGTTACTCTTTTCTCAATGGAGAATGATAAAGATGTCCTACACAGATCTGTAATATCCATCTAAACAGTCATTTTTCATTGACTTCAGAAGTCTTTCATTTGGATAGCATCGATAAAAATAATCAAATAATCAAATTAATACTCAGACTTTCTTACAAAAGAAATAAAATTTAATTGAAAAGTATAAAAGTTACTCAGTGCCATTAAAACACGTATAACCAGCTCTGAATTTTGAAAAATATGTATTATGGTTTTATCAAGTGATAAAAATGCACACTAAAGGAAAAAAATAGATGAAATTCCTGTTTAATTCCATTTGTTTAAGTCAAATCTATTTTTAACAGTAACTCCATCCTATTTATTTTATACCTTTTACATGCATGACTGGAGTTCACTTATGTGGAAATGTTACCTTTATGTAATGTAACTAAGAATCTGACAGTGTGTCCACATTATATACATATATCAGAACATCACATTGTACCCCATAAATAAATGCAATTATAATTTGTCAATGAACAATGAAAAAAAATCTGAAAGAGTGAACAACTATGTCATGAGTAGCCTAAGTAATTGTCATAAAATTCCTGTACTGAAGATCATGTATGTTTACCCTTGGGAGCTCCTTGGAATCTACTGAGTCTTATTTGAGACAGTGTTTTGTTTTTTCTAAGCCCAGCAAATGTGGAGTGGAAGTAAAGAGATACTAGGGCAAGCAGCAAGAAAGAAATTAACAGTTTTTCAGTGGGGAATGAGGAAAAATGATCTGCAGAACACAAACACAACATTCAGGCTGGGGCCATTAGTACAGGGGTAAATAGTGCTATTCACCTTACTAACTCCAGAGGGCGTCCCTGTGTTTTAACACCATATATATATTTAACATCTACACCTGAGTTATTAGTATAAGAAAGGTTCAAATGGCTTTGTTCTGTTTTTTCAAATCAGAGAAATGTATATGCTTTAGAAAGATTTCTTTCCAAAACAGATTAAATTGTTTAGAAGTTCTGGAAATTGATATATAAGGAATGACTTTTTGCAGACACTTAAGAAATAAGATATGACTGTACAATGATGTATAGAGCAGTGAAGTATAAGATAGAATAGGTACTGGATACCTGGAGAGAAACAGTACAAATAAAGAAGGCTACCCCGGGTTGCTTGTGGAGGCTACAGCAGAGCAGTATGGAGTGCAGATGTAATTAGCCACCCTGGAAAACTGAGGCACTGGGAATAGCTAGGAAAGAGGGTTGTTGGCAATGACATAGTAGAGTGGATGGCCCAATAGAAATGTGGTGGTTTGGTGATTTTTGTTTGTATCTTTGGTCATTTTCCGATTATCTACTGGCCCACTTTATAAAATTGTAAAAAGATTCTGATGGATGTACTGCCTCTTGAATATAAGCTTGTTTTGGTTAAGTCACATATTTGTAAGAAAAAGACAATAGAAAAAAAGAATATGAATAAGCAATTCAGAGAAAAATCATGAAATATGCCTATAAGCACATGAAAAGATGCTCAGTGTTACTAGTATTTGGGAAAATGCATTTTAAAATCAGATTTTTTCCCATTAGATTGACAAAATTAAAAGGGTAGATAATATCCAATGTCAGCAAGGATGTGGAGAAACAGGACCTTGTTCGTTGTTGGTGGTAAAATTATTAGACCATTTTTATGGGCAATCTGCAATATCTATGAAAATTTAATATGCTTAGGTCCTTTGACTAAGCCATTCTGGGTTTGCAATCTGTTCTACAGAAATACTTATACAGGTTCTCAAAGGTTTATTTCCTGGGATGTTTTAGAAGCATTTATTTAGGAATATTTGTAATAGCAAAAAAGTGAAATCAATCTACATTCCATCAATATGGGAGTAATTAAATTGTGATACATCCATACAATGAAATCCTATGTAGCCATTATAAAGTATGGGGGGGGTGTTAGACTGACATAGCAAGATTTCTAGGACTAAAGTGGAAAAACAAGTTGCAGAACAATTCATATAATATGATCCTATTTATGGACAAATAAGCTGATATAAAACCATATCAGGATGCATGTGTATATATGTATGTGAATGCATACAAACAGGTATGAGAGAATTCCCACCAAGCTGTTAACTGTTTTGGCTAGAGGAGTGGGACTGGACGTGGTAGGTTGGTACATCTTGACTTTCATTTTATTTTACTTTAAATACAGTAGAATGTTATTTACCTAGAATATCCAGTATTTGATCCATTCAGGATAAGCAGTGTTTCTGGAATTCAAACACATAAGTATAAAAAAAAGATAAAAAAACAAATGAAATAAATGGAAAATGTATTAAACATTTGTTACCACAAATAAAACATATTCATTTCATTTATTGATTTTTTGCATGCAAGTCAGAATTTGCACTATTCATTTCCTTTAAAATGACAGAAAAGCATTTGGCAATGATAAAAATAAAAATAGGAAATTTTAACTTGTCAGGAAATTGTTGTTGATCTCCTAGGTATGGACACATTAGAGATTGTCTGGGGTTGTGTTAGAGTTGAGGACCATGTATCAGTTGTCTTTGAAAAGCTCTGTCAGGGTTAGTTCCTTGCCCATGCTACACCTCTCCCTTTGACATTTTCCAGAATCTTCCCATCGGTAGTAAATGACCTTTGTTCCCTAAAATGTACGCAATATAAAATATTCTCTGCTCTGGAGTATATTTGGCTCCTCAGTTCCAACTCATGCTTGCATGAATTGCATGGACTGGGCCACCATGAGATCACCAGTTGGTCACTGTATCTGGTGGCTGACACCATCCCTGTGGGACCCGCACTCTAGCAAATGTTTCTCAGTCATTTCAGTAGGGTTACAAACTGTATTTAAGTTTTCCTGTATCATAAACTTTTTTTTTTGTAAGTACACAGGAAGGTTTATAAGCATCAGTAAAGCATTGTCGACATGTGCTCAGTCCACACCCATAATCTCATTATTTGTAAATAATCTTATAAACTATATACCCTCTTTTATAATAATTTTTAACCTTTTTTCTTTTTCTGATTATTTCTAGGAAGTTACTTTGCAAAAGAAGCTATCTATTCCCACAAAAATTGCCCGTATGATGCCCAGAACACCGTTATGATTGTAGCCCGAGTCCTGGTTGGAGATTTTATTGAGGGAAAAAAGACGTACACAAGCCCCCCTCCGCCGTACGACAGCTGTGTGGATACAGGGTTTAATCCGTCTGTTTTTGTCATCTTTCACAGAGATCAGATTTACCCAGAATATGTGATTGAATATGCTGAAACAGACAAAAGCTGCGTGATTTGTTAGAACCGATGAATGTGGCCTCTTAAAGGGTTCCGTAACCGTTCCGTTCACTTGTTGAACCAAATTGCCCCCGATAATACTTAAACTTTGCTACATATTTGAATCATCTGGGAAGCTTTGAAATATTCCAATGCCAGGCTGCACCCATACCAATTAAATCACTGCTTCTGGGGGTGAGAGGCTCCGTAACCGTTCCGTTCACTTGTTGAACCAAATTGCCCCCGATAATACTTAAACTTTGCTACATATTTGAATCATCTGGGAAGCTTTAAAATATTCCAATGCCAGGCTGCACCCATACCAATTAAATCACTGCTTCTGGGGGTGAGAGGCAGGCAGTGGTATTTTTTTTTAAAGTTCTCCTGATGATTCCAATATGTTGGAAAGTTTTCATTGTCTTAGATGTAAACTGGTAAAGGCTGATTTCTAAATTTTCTGTAATTGCAACAAACTTTCTCTCCCTTCTACTCTTTTAGTTGACTGTATGGCATGGTTTCATTTTGGTTAAACTGAAAGAAAATTAATTTGGAATATTTGAGAGAAATCTAATAATGCCTATTGAAATAAGGGCATAAGATATTACAGCCTTAGATAGAAGACTGAGAAAAGCCAGGGAAAAATGCTTATGGTCATGCTGGGGAAAAAAGGTAAAAAGTAAACTTTAAATGCTATTGTGGACGTAATTGCTGTACTATACCTTACCTTTGTGATGAAACTGATTTGGGGCACATATTTCTTTTTTTTTACATTTATTTAGGGGACAGACTCCCTCCAGGTTGACTTTGGAATACCATAATAATTGCTGCCAAGTGTGGCTTAGAGAGAAACAACCAACTGGAGTTAATTGCCCATTTGGTTTTGTTTTTTGGTGGCTGACCAGTACGGGGATCCAAACCCTTGACCTTGGTGTTCCAACACCACGCTCTAACCAACTAAACTAACCGGCCAGCCCCCATTTGGGCTCTTTATATAATTATGGCAAAGTACACATTTATGTTCTAATTAATGTGATTACAGAGAAAGCTTTTTTCAGGTCAGGCTTTCATGAAAGTGTCTGTATTTTCGGGGGACTGAGTTGCAGTAACCAGATTCACACAATAAACCCGAGTGCTATTGTAGTCGTTCACTGCGGCAGACGAGGCTCACCAAGAAATTAGGAGCAGGGCCATCCCTAGAGAAGGAAGGGCCCCCTAAGGAGGCGAGATTTGTTTCCTGGTGAGCACAGAATTATATATAACAAAGAGAACAATGTCCCAAAAACAGGCCTTGTGCCTACTAGGGGCTTCTTTTTCTAGATGTAACGATTGTATGGAATTGTAGTACAATCAGTTTTTAGTCACCTAATGGTGACTGGACCAATATTTCCTTCTTTATTATGAATAAGGTTTTTCTTTCCAGTTTTCCTTTTTCAACATTCCATACCAGTCACCAAATTTTCCTGTTATATTTCCTTCCAGCATACATGTTACAAATAATTAATTAGCATTAGAGTTGATTTTATATTACTCAGATTTTAGATCAGTACAAAGATCTTCACAACTTTTCGGTTTAAAGTGCTCCAACAGTAAAACACGTGTAGAGATTTTTTTAGAGTAGAGTTGTTTTCATTCTGGGAGGCTTGTCACAAATGGTTATTCTCATTTGCTTATTTTTCATGGTAGTTTGTGTTTTGGAGTGTTCATTTCCTGACCTTGACCTTCACATTGTAGACGTGCAGTTTATCCAACTCTTTCCAACTGTCCATTAGACTCTTCTAGTTGGATATTTCACAGGCATCTTTGATTCAGCACCTCCAAAGTGTAACTTTCTGTCTGCCTCCCTCCACAAGCCTGTTCCTCCCCAGCATTCTGTATATAAGTAAATGGTATCACAGAAACCAGAAGTCATCCTTGACTTCTTGCTCTCCCTCCTGCTACACATCTAAACAGTTCCAGTTTTACCTCTCAAATATCTCTTTGTCCCCTTCTAAGTTTTTCTCTACTTAGCAAGAATGTCATATTTTAAAAATGTACTTATTAATGCTCTTTCAAAACATAAATCTGATCGTGCCTTTAGGATAAAGTTCAAAACCATTATCATAGATCCACATGATCTCTCCCTTCCCTACTCTTCTATCATTTATTTACTTCCACATAAGCTTCTCTGGCTTTCTTTCAGTTCTTCAGTGCCCCTTTTTTCCTAGTTCAGTGGTTCTCAAGTAGCACTTCTGCCTTTTTTTAACAACAAAAACTTTGTAACATCTGCTTCATTGCCTTCAAAATGCAATTCAGAGGTAATATATTCTACCTACCCACAGTTTTAGAAATAAATGAAAAATTAAATTAAACTAATATAAAAGGGCACGACTATACCAGAAGACAGAAGTAGTCAAATGTTTATACCTTCTTATAATGAATAAATTTGAACCTAAAAGAAGGTAAGAGATGAGAAGCTATTTTATACAAAGAAGCATGGAAAAATGAAAATGCAGATACTAGTGGACATTAGAATAAAAACTAGTGATATAATAACTTATTTGCATACAATACTTGTATATGATAAGAGAAAGAACGAAATAACCTTAATTGAAATAAAAATATTATGCTAGAAAATTTAGAGGTTGTCGAAACTGAGAAAAAGAGGAAATATATTCTTGCAGACGAGCTGTAGGTTATACATGAATGTCTAGTGAGACATTCAAAATTCGTATAGGGTGCAGAATTTCATATTGTGAGGAACTGTCCAACGTATTGCAAGATGTTCAGCATACTTGGCTCTCACATACTAAATACCAGTTGCGCCCCCACCGCCACCTCCACTCCCAATCATGGTGGCAGATAAACCCTATCAGACCTATTCACCCTTTTCAAAGCAAATATTTTTGTAACATTCCCTTTGCTGTCCTGAGATGATTCATAGATAATGCAATCTACTAACACATATGAATTTCTTAAAAAATCAGCTTAATGGTCTAACTCTATTACAATGGAGAAATAGAAAGTAAAAAATGTGTAATGAAAATAAAGTGAATTTCAATATGTAAATGCTCAGGCATGACTACGCTGTAAAACATAAAATAGATGTTTACTCTTACTTATAATAGGTTTGGGTTTAATAGCCGATCAGAGGCTACTTCCCGTAAAAAAGCACAGGAAAATGAAAGATTAAAGGTACAAAGGATCTTCAAAAAGTTCATGGAAAGACTCGTATTATGTTTTAATTCCATTTTTCCATGAATTTTTTGAAGTACCCTCCTATGGGTGACACTAGAATGAAAACCAGTATTAGGGTAAGTCATAACAGACCATATACCTTCTCTGTATATGGTAAAGAAAAGAGCAAAATTACCTTAACTGGAATAAGGATAATAGGACAAGACAAATTACAGGTTGTGTCAGAGGAAACAAATGAATTATATTCTCTCAGACGAGCTGTAGTTCCTACATAAATGTCCAGCAGGACATTAGAAAGTCGTACAGAGTAATTCTTCGTTGTGTGGGACTAACCTATACACTGCAGGACATCTCATCCCTGTCTGCATCCACTTAGTGCTGGTAATAGCTTCCATTTATTGTGAAACCAACAATAACCCATCAATTTCCAAAACCCAGTGAGAACCACTGACCTAGTGAATGTCTAGCTTCCTCAGATTAGCTCAACTCTTAATTCCAGGAGGAGTCCTTATTCTATAAGTCAGATCCTTGCCTCCCAAACCCCCAGTTTTTAAAATACTTTGCATCTTGCTCTGTTCAGTTTTAGCATCAATCCAACTTGAAGTTGTTTGCTTTCTGCATTAGAATGTAAGCTCCTTGAGGGCCAAGTCAATCTATGTCACTCGCTGTGCCACGCCTGATACCCAGCCTAGCTCTGGATGCTTGCTACACTGGTGAAATGGGTGAATTTTGTTGAGTAAATTAAGCTCAACTATTTATATTTCAGTGGTTGAGTTGTATTGCTTCTTCTTCAAGCTTAATTTGAGGCTAATAAAAAGAAATAAATAATTAATTTTGTTCTGCTGTCTTTATTTGCTTTATTTCTAGGTATCCCCCCAAAGATAACCAACTGCAGACACAAATTTATGCAGTGGGGGAGAGATGACGCATTTTGCCCCTTCCAACTTTTATCATTCCAGGACTCGATAGATAACCAAGGACAGCAGCCTTTTTTGCACAGTGCAAAGCAGGGTGGTAGTGATGGAATAGCCCACAGTTGGTTGACACATCTTTTGTCTGGGGGTTATAGAGGGAAGGGCTGGAAGCTGCTAACACATCTTTCTTCCTCTGGTCCCAGGGGTAGGAAGGAGCAGAGCCAGGCTGAGGCACAAAAGTTAAAAATGTAAACGGTTATCACCAGATTTGTCCTATCAGCCACTTCTCCCTCAAAAGCCCTTCTCCACTCATTCTTTTCTGATTACAAAGCTGCAGATGGGGGGAGAGGGGGAGGGCATGCAAGATCTATAGCAGCATAGATTTGATAAAGTGAAGGTAAAGCTATCATTGAATGTCGACCTCAATATAAATAAAACGTATTGCAAACCCATTAGTGTCAAAGTACCCTCATTCAAATACATGAAAATGCTATCAAACCAAGCATAAACAGATGTTTGAGGTTTTGCTTATTTTTTCTGTGTTTATCTACTTTGCCATAGCAGGCTCCCAATAAAATCTGCCATTATCTGGTTTCTGGGGTGGACTCTTCCGTCCAGCATTGGGTGGAAGTGAAGCTGGATAGCCACCATTTCCTAGGCATACCTTAACTACTGTAAGATAACTACCATGGGAGGCAATACACTGAGCGTGAAGTGTGTGGGATACCCTGCGGTTGTATTCCAGGACGTGGCTTCAAAAGACTGCGGGGGATAACAGGTTTCATGGAGAAGGTTAAGGACGGAGTGGATGAGTTTACAGCAGTGATATCAGTGTGTGCCCCTGAAGTGGCCATCAGCTTGAGCATGAGCTTTAGAATCGGAGTGGGCTGATACATCAGAACTTTCAAGGAACTGCTTAAGTCCTAAAGTTCTAATCCTAGAATACCATCCTCAATCTCATTCCCTGTTTTTCTTTTGCATTCCCTTGTGAACTTCCTGGCATCTAATGTCTCTCTTTTCTTCCCAAAACTCCACATTCGCCAGTAGTCCGCTCTGGGATCTTTTCTTTTTTCTCCTCTCCACACTACCCCATGAATGCTCTTTATTCCCAGACTTCGGGTATCACACTCTTCTAACCTCTGCTGAGAGGTTGAATAACTTGTGTAAGGTATCATGGCTAACGAGTAATGGAAGCAGGATTATGAACCCTGGTAGTATGGCTCCCGAGTTCACAGGTTAAGTGCACTACCATGTCACATCTCTATGGGAATGGTCTTTACCTTTTCCTTCTCACCTCTCTGCCCATCCCCCATTAACACCTGCATATACTCCTGGCTGCTTATGGTCGCTTCTCCGCATTCATTGAAGACTTTTTCTGGCTTTCAGTCTTCTCTCCACTATAAATCCTCCCATCTTTCTTAGTGTTCATTGTGGACAACTCACTCAACACCCCTAGCTTTAGATGTCCATAAAACCCCTGGAGAGGGGACGGATGGCAGCCTCATCGCCGGAAGCTTCTGCTTTTAATGAAATAAGAGAAGCTCCACGAAGCCTTCTCTCTGCATCTGTTGAATCTCAAATATCTTTAGTTTAAAATAATCCTCATACCAACTCTGGGGGTCTGAGTAAATCTCCACACCACCAATTCCGTCACATCACTGGTTGGGGGCTCTTCCTGGAGGTGTTAACTCCTTGATAATTCCAGCCTGCCTCTATTGCTGGCAAGCTCGATTCTTCTGCTGGAAGAATACCTTAGGCAGAGAGTCCAAGTGCAAATGCTGAGTGCCAAAGGGACACAGGCTACTGCAGTTTCCTTCTGATCTTTCCCTTCCTCCACCTGCTTCCTTAGTGTTGGTATTCCCCAGGATTCTATTCTCCCACCTCTGCTTTTCACACTTTATTTTTGCTGGGTGACCTTATCAACTCTCATAGCTTCAATTACCTAATACTCTGATGTCACTCAAATCTATATCCCTTCCCTTCTCATCTCCCCTAAGGTCTAGACCTGTATGTATAATACCACTACCCAGTGCGTGTCTTACCTTGGATTGTCCACTGTCAACTGAGCACAATAAAAGTTGGGATTATAGTACCTCATATCATGTTTTTCTTCCTTTATTCCCTATCTTGTCTTGCTTTGCTAGAAATCCATCCTTCTTATTGCTAACAGGGGTCTTTCTAAAAACACCTATCCTGCAATAGAGCCAGGCATTGACCAACAGCAATACGTTTCAGGTTATGAGGACAACAGCAATGAACAGAAGAATCAAGATTCTTGCTTTTGTGAGCTTGAATTCTACAAATAAATATATAAATAAACAAGAAAAATACCCATGATAAGTTCCATGTAGAGACTGGGGGTTACTTTAGATTGGGAGGTCAGGAAACGCCTTGCTGAAGAGAAGACATTGAAGCTCAGTGCTGAATGACACAAAGGAGACATGCATGCAAAGATCAGGGGCAAGTATTCTAGGTAGAGGGATCACGTCACTGCTCAGTTGAAAATCCTTCAGTGGCTTCCCAAAGTCCTTAGGATATAAGTCCAAATTTCTTAGCATGGCAGAGAAGGTCTTCTGGCATCTGGCTAGATGCCTTCCTCTCTAGCTTCTTTACATTAGGTGACATTAACTCATCTAATCCTCACAAGCACCTCGTAAGACAGCAACTAGGCTGGTTGAGTTCCCCAACTGTCTTATTTGTCTTTGTACTCTCACTGCATTAGTCGTTGGCTCAATAAATGTTCATTAAATGAGCATGATGTTGGGCAAAAAGGGATAGATGCTTAACAAATGTACAGGTCTGGATCGGAGCTGTCCAAGAGAAATATAAAGTAAGCCACATATGTAATTTAAAATGTTCTCATAGCTACATTAGAAAAGTAAAGAAAGAGATGAAATTGTCATAACGTTTTACTTAACTGACTATAACCAAAATATTATCATCTTAACCTGTGATTAATATAAAACTATTAATGAGATATTTTCCTTTTTTTTTTTTTTTCCATTCTAAATCCTGGAAATCCAGTGTGTGTGTCTCACACTTACACCACCTCTCAGTTCAGACTAGCCACATTTCAAAAGCGCACAGCAGCGACATGTGGCCAGTGGCTACCTGCTCAGAGACCGTCCCCTGCCAGCCAGTCACCTCCTGCCACCTTAGCTATTTTACCGTCTTTCCAGCCCTAACCAGTACTGGCAGCCATCTCATTTCGCTGCGTGTCCCCACCACACAAGCCCCTCCAGGCAAGGACTCACCTTGAGCCGTGCCTGGCACCGAGCAGGCGCCCAGTAAACGCTGCCCCCGCCTGCATCCGTGTCGGGGGATCGCAGCCCCCGGCCGCCGCTCGCCCGGCCTTGCCCAGGCGCGTCCC